ATAGATAGATAGATAGATAGATAGATAGATAGATAGATAGATAGATAATGATGATAACGGCCAGGGTACTAGGGGCGTGGTGTCGGAATGGTGAATGAATAGATGGCTTAGGTGGTTAGAAGTGCCTCAGGGTAGGAGAAGCCTCCTTGGAACCTCAGCCCTACTCCTTCCTAGTTTAGATCTCCCCTTGACTCCCACTTCCCTGGGGCTCAGTGTTCTTTTGGACTCTCTGGACCCAAAAGCCATCACTGTAAAAAAAAAGAAAAAAATCAAGACATGGAACTTACATTAGGAAGAAATGCCACATTGATTTGTCTTCTATTTGGAATATGGGTGACCCTGTGCTCATTTGAATCTGCTCCATCATTCTTGTTCTTTGACACCTAACTGGCTTGATTTTGATTTGTGAATCAAAATTTTAATTTTTATACATGACGTTGGTTTATATTTAAAGGGCTATTTGGGTGCAGTAAGCTTCATTTCTGACAAGGAACAGGTATCTTGGTCTTGCATGACTCAAACTGTGATGTGGAGCGGTGGATACAGAGCCACTTATGTGTTACCTGAGAACATGTTAAGGACCTATGCATATACTCTAATTGTCTCCATTCTGCTTACATTTTAAGGGAGACATTACAGCATCATAGCTGAGCTAACACTCCCCTGGACCCTATCCCAATAGATTTCCGGTTTCCAGTTTCCCATAAACACCCAGACGCTCCCTTTTTGTGGTGTTTCTTTCTGGTTTCTGTGTGCTTAGATATATAACTGCAGACCCAAAACAATGCATAGCTGTGGGTTTTACATTTTTATTTATTTTTATTTCATGTGAATTGGTGTATTGGCTGGATATATATATGTGTGAGGATATCAGACCTCTTAGAACTGGAATTACAGATGACTGAGATCTGCCATGTGGGTGCTGGGAATTGAACCCCAACCCTCTAGATGAGCAGCTAGTGCTCTTAACCATTGAGCCATCTCTCCAGCCCCAAAGCTGTGCTTTTAACAGAACTATTTCCAGGTTAAGTGTGTCCTCTGGCAACTTAAAGATCTCTTTGCAGCTGTGGTTAAGATCTTCCCATTGTTTATCTTTTTTACTTTGTTTGCTCGCTTTTAACAATGAGCCAAAGTTAATTGATCTGGTCACCCACCACTCATTAACATGAAGAAGACTTAGTGTCTTTACATTTTCATTCTAAAATATTTCATAACTTATGTAGAGTGGCTCTGCAAATAACATGGATTTTCAGGATTAGTGAGGTAGCTCAGTGTATAAAGACTGAAAACATAAATTTAATTCCCAAGAAGAATAAGAAAACTAGTTCCTCAAAGATGTGTCTTCTAGTCCCCCCACACAATAGATAATAATAATAATAATAATAATAATAATAATAATAATAATCTAGGACTGCCTAAAATAGGTGACTAAATCCTGCTGAAACATACTCATGCAAACTGGCGTGGACTGTCTAACAGCCTTAGCAGAAACCAGTAAGTGAGAAAAGCCTAAAGGAAGTACACATTATACAAAGGCCTGGAGACATTTCAGAACAACACCAATAACAATCTCCCTGGACTCAGAAGAAAAACAATGAGATTGCGAAGGACCATGGGACTCTTGGAAGAATCATGTGGTGTCCTGGGGCTGGAGTGAGGGCTCAATGGTTGAGGAGTTGTATCTCTTGCATGGGACCTGGATTCATTTCCCAGTACCCTCATGGTGGATTACAACCACCCATAACTCGAGTCTCAGGGGATCCAGTGCCTTCTTGTGGGCAATAAGCATGCACGTGGTCACATACATAGAAGCAGAGAAAACACTCACATAGAAGATAAAATGGAGAAATGTAATTTTTCAAATGTGGTACAGTACGACCATAGAACCCGCAGACGTACTATGTGCAATTATGTTGTCATATTCTTTTGCCCTTTACATGTACAATTATTTCTGCTTTGAGTTTGGAGAGCTCAAAACACCACAGTTAAAGCTAATGACTACCACAGTGAGTCCTTCTGTCCTGTTTCTGCTGAAGCTTGAAGTGAGCCTTTGATTAAAGCATCCAGAGTTATTATTACTATTGCACCTTCTGAAGGAGACAGACTAGGTGCCCCAAATACTACAAAACGAGCCATACTGTAGAGAAAAGATGTCTCAAATCAACTGGTATCTGGGTGACTTGTGCCTGCGTGGCTGAACCTACCAATCAACCGTAACGTTGAGCAAGGCAGGATAGCAATCTTTTCACCTGTGACATGAAGAGAGTTGACATCCTTCCAGTAGACAGCAGGTAATGAGTTAGGCAGTGGAGCAGAGAACAACCTTCAGGCCCATCCAGCTGTTGACAGTAGAATCCAGGCCCAACGTGCCAGCATCCTTCCGGGAGAGACACTAGGAGTCTAGTTTTTAATCATAAATCTCTGGGTATTGATATTAGCAAGCAACTTTACACAGAACAAAATAGACAAACAAGCAAGCAAACAAAGCAGTGTGAGTGAAACAACGTGAGTGAGCACTACATCCACCCTTTGGACCGTCATGTGTATAATCTGGCTGCTATGTTAGCTGAACGCCGCCAGTTGAACTTCAGCATTTCCCCAAACAGGAAGCCAGCAGCAGTGCTGACCCCGCATGCCCTGCTTAGCCAAGGTGAACCTGCCTGACCACTCCGTTTGTCCCTGAGCACCCCGGGGAAGGTCTTTGCTGCTTGGCCAAGAGGCCAGGCATTGCCTCGCTGTTCATTATATAGCTAGGGCTTACAGCTAGCTATCTTCTGCCAAGCTCATCCATATCAAACCAGAAAGCCCTCTGTTACAGCTCCAGGAAATAGGTGAAGGATAGAGGTGGAGCATGCCCTTCTCTGTTTCCTGGATAAGGCAAAGTCACCAGCTAGGTTAGCATTGTCTTAAGTTCTGGGAAGAGCTATAAGGTGCACACGCACAAGTAAAATAAAAAATAAAATGGAAAAACTTCAGTTGGACTAGTTTACATTTCAAAGAAACAGAAAGTACCACAATAGCACAAAATTATCCTTGAGGCTAAGCAAATATTAATAAAACTTGGCTCATTGTCTCTCAGAGTCCCTGTGTTAGGGGGAAAAATACAGAATGTCATAATATGTAAAGTCCTAACTTTCTTTTGGCCCAGAAGGTCGTGAAAGATTTTGTGTTTATGCTCCACACAAATGAGTGGTGTGTGTGTGTGTGTGTGTGTGTGTGTGTAGTCTCCTTAAAAATAAATATTATTGCTTTGTGGTTTTTCCAAATATGAAAGTTTCATATTACACACTTGTTCTTTTTAATTATTGACTATTCTGTCATTGGATTGGATTGATATTGACATAGATTTTTTTGGGGGGGAGGGGTAGAATACCTGTTTCATAGCATTCTGTAATATAAAGCACATTATTTTGACAGCCTGCTCTCCGAAAATATAAGCCTGTCCTCACACTTTCATTTTCCCAAGTTGCAATGTGTGCCTTTCTGTATTTATTGCAAGTGTGACAACTGAAGTTTGAATTCCTAAGAGCCTATAGAAAACTCAGTGTTGTTAATCTACAATGAAGTTTCATTCTGTTTAGTTTTTCCCTTCATCGGTTGCAAAACTTGATGTGCTTGGATGTTGACAAGTAAGTGAGATCTTGTCTGACCTAGTAAGCCTTCATACTTGATTGCCAACTTGAATTTCCCCACTGTGAACTGTGTGGACCACTTTCTGCTCATCTATTCATCTGCTCATCCATTACAAACTTTGCCATTCTTTTACTAAATATTCAGAAGTGATGTGTATATTTGGATGTCAAGCTTGTGCTATTTGGATGTTTTACAAGAAAGTGATTCTAATCGTTAGTTTACCTTTTAATTTAGTT